CCCCCACTGTTTGTCTGACCATGCTTTTGCACTGACGGGAAAGTTGGCGCAAGATGGCGGCGCCTGTTGTTTTCTCCGTTTTGAAATTGCCGTCAGTGATTGTTTACATTCTAAGAATTTCGCGGAATAAAGAGTATTAATAGGTGTCCTCTGTCGTGAAGTTGATATTTGATAATCATACTTAGTGAGAGGACTGTTACTTGTATTGATCCCAAACCGTTGACGAATACCGTGAGGCGAGGTTCATGATGGGTAAGTACCCTTTCACAAATTGTCCATTCTCGCTTCCATTTTATTGTTGATATTTTCGCACCGAGTAATGTTCTTGTGCTGTGTTTATTGGGTCGCATATACTCAACGAATATTTCATAACCTCTAGGCTGATTATTGTTGAACACCACTGATTCCAAAAAAATTAATTGCGTGCAATGATATATCACAATATATTCTATTGGCAGTGTCTCACTCACATCTTGTCTGACATCTCTGTTATAAACTCTGGTTTTCAATTAAAAACCAAATACGTAAAACCGAACATGTAATTATGTTAATGACTAGGGGAGGTTGGGGTAAAATGGACACTTTTGACTTTTTTAAAAATAGTGACGGGTAGAAATGTTGATGAAATTCAATCTTTTTTTTTTCAATACAAAGAACATTTCTTTCCTTTTGTGATGAACTTAAACTGAGCTCTATTGATACATTTGTTTCTGAGTTATGAATAATTTGAGAAAAGTCTAAAGTGTTCATTTTACCCTACCCTCAACAAATGTTGTTATCGAGAAATTTCGAAAGATATTTTTGTTGAAATTTATTTCGATTCCAAAAGGGTTGGAAAAAGAGGAACATTTTCTTGAAAAGTCCTTCACTTCCAAAATGAATGGTCAACGAACCAATATTCCGAGGTCAAGAGATTCTAGTAGAAATATGTTCTTCAGCATAAAATCAATGCTTTTGTTGCTCGTATCGATCTCTCACCCTCTCCTCTTCAATTATAAAACGTATAACATTATAAATCATCCCATCGGATGTACATAATCCTCCGAATAATAAAAATTGTTGAGATACGCAATAATGCTGAATGAATCGATATATTGACACGCGAAATTGTTTCCAAAATTTAGTCAAATCTGCAATTACCTCGATAATGACTGTTGTCTTAAGAAATCTCAAGGTACTTTTACTGAAAATGTATTCAACTCCAGAAGGATTTCAACATTTTCTGCTTTGATCACTCATTTCCAATACGAATAGACAACCAACAAACATGTCAAATTAACACATCGTATCAGAAAACGAATGTTTTCTAAATCTAAATCAATTCTCTTGATGTTCGTTCAATTATAAGTCATAATATTCTCAATTATCCCCTCGTCTGCAATCCTGAAAATTAAATGCCACCTGTAAGAGATGCAATAATGAATGAGTGAATCAATTGGATTCCAGACTCGTCATCAGAGCTGAGCGATTCTCCTGGAGTTAAAAAGCTCCACGATGCACCAGTCCCTGCGTCACCGACTTTCGGTGCCACAAGGGACAGCTCGACGACTTCTGCTAGCTCAGCATCCACATCCTCTCCAGATCGAGTAACGGTTAGTCCTCTATCATTTCCTACTTCCTTCCACAGTGATATTCCCATGCAGATCAAGCAGGAATGCGAAATAACCACGAACGATACGAGAGAGCTCTCGCCAAGACCCATGTCCACCTGCCTTCCCACAACTGCTGATAAAAACAATTTCTCAGTCGATATCCCTCCCTCGACGTTCACCCCCTCCACAGCCGCGGTCCGCGGAAACCCCATGATCCACATAAATCCCTCGATCCTCTGCTCCGATCAAAGGGCGAATTGTCCAGGCCTAGGGACTCCAATGCCCTGCCTCTCCCCCTCTGCATACCCCTACCCCTATTGGGAGCACTCCTCCAGTGAAAGACCTCCCAGTCCCTCTGGCTCCCACTCCAAAAGATCAACAAGACGTAATCGAAATGAAAAAGACGAGACATCAAAAAGGTCGAGGACTCTTGCGACACTTGCAACCAAAGACGATAAACCATATCTGATAAAGAGCATGAAGCATTCAGATTTTTTTGCTAGTGGGAATGACGATGCCACCCCAAGAAGATGCAGGGATGCTAGAGATTGGCTCAATGAGAAAGCTGCCAAGGATCTCACTAGGGAGAAAATTCCACATTTCGTCGATCGTGGCACGTCACCAATAAACTTTGGCAGGAAGAGACTATCCAGAAGGAAGTCCAGGGACGTTGACCTCTCTCCGATCAGGTGCACAGAGCCTGTGAGACGATGCAAGTCAAGTGCAAGCGAGAAGTCGATGGATTAAAACTACCTCGTGGAATTCATTTTATTTGCTAACAGTGTTAACTTAAGTCAGGATAATTAAGTTTGGGGGACGGTCATAGAGATCGTTTACATGCATTAGTCACTATTCCGAAAGGGAATTTCTGAATATTTTTGAAGACGATTCAAAGGCCATCATCTGGAAATGGCTGGAATTTATATTTTCATATAATCGGAATTTATGGAATGTTTGATATGTTAATTGGAGAATGAATTTTTTTATATGCTTGCTGGATATTCTTAATACTAATTTATGAAATTGCTTAATTTCATAAATTGCATAAATTTCATAAATGTCCCTAGAAGGTGGGATGGGTAGTAAGGAATGCATCAACGATGCATGAGGTGTGTTGCATTCTTTAATATCTCGTTGATTAACCCGTAAACATCGAAAACACATTGGGTCGATCATTAAAACTTTCAAGACAGTGGATTCTTGTGACAATCGCAACTGAAGACGATGAACCTGATTTGGTACAGAACATGAAGCATTCAGATTTTTATGCTATTGGGACTGGCGATAACATCCCAAGAAGATGCAAGGATGTTAGAGATTGGCTCAATGGCAAGGTTTACAAGGGTCTCACCAGGAAAAAATTCCACGTTTCGTCGATCGTGGCACGTCACCATTAAACTTTGGTAGAAAGGGACTATCCTGGAGGAAGTCCAGGGACGTTGATCTATCTATCTATTCATCCCCGTCTTTAATATCTCGTTGATTAACCCGTAAACATCGCAATCCCATTGGGTGAATTATCCAACCTTCCGACTCAGTGGACTTTTCTAACAGTTGCAACCAAAGACGATAAACCAGATCTGATAAAGAACATAAAGCATTTAGATTTGTATGCTCCTGGGACCGACAAAAAGGAAAAAATTCCACGTTTCGTCGATCGTGGCACGTCAATAATAAATTTTGGCAGAAAGAGACGATCCCAGAGATCTAGAGACGTTGGTCTATCTCCAATCAGGTGCACAGAACCCTTGAGACGATGCAAATCAAGCGTAAGCGAGAAGCCGATGCATCAGAGCTATCTCACAAACGGTTCTCACGGAACGCACGGAATTCAGTTAAGTCTGGGATGATTAAATTGCTTAAGAACTGTTGTGGAAGCTGTGAAGTTGGAGATGCCGGGAAAACAACGGGGTGTCCAGGCTGTCAGGCTCACGCTGCGCTTGAGGCTATGAATTAATTAGGAGAAATGGGGGAGGGGTAAGCATTGGCTATTAGGAGTGTAACTTCTTGTTTGGGTGATTCATGCTTCACTTGCTCTTGAGACACTTTTTGTGCGGGGAAGTGTTATATCAACACTTATCTTTCGATGTCAAGTCTGCATGCATTTTTCATTATTTCGAAGGGGTTTTTTGGTAATTTGAGGCGAATAATGGAATTGTTATAGACTGGAAAAGACCGAATTGAGAGTTATCTATTTCCAGACTTCATAGTTTAATTGGAAATCGTTATTCGTGTTAATTATTTGAGGAATTTTATAACTTCATTTATTATTATTTCACAGATCCATTTTCTATGATCTTCAGAAAGATGAAACGCAAGATCATAATTTATGTTGATAAAGCAAAATCATTAACGTTTTTCGTTGCATAATTTTCAATAGAAGTCGGTTCCAAAACCATAGATAGTGGTAATGATACAATTAAAACGCGAGGTTTTTCTATTAACATTTACCATATGTGCGTCAACGCATTCATGAAATTGAGATTCAACAATTTCTAGAATTCTTAGATAATTTTTTACACATGAATTAGGGGATGACATTTTGAAGCCATCAATTAATTTAGGAAATTTACGGGAAGGGGGTGCAAAAAATTGTTTTTTTTTAAATTTAGTTTATTTATTTATGTCGAACCAGTACTTTATTTTGTGTAACACTCAATTTTACATGCATTAGTCGTTATTCCGAAAGGGACTTTATAAATGTTTCCCGAGATTATTAAATGCCCATCACCTCGAAATGGCTGAAATTCAGATTCACCAATAATCCGAATTTATAGAATGTTTAATACATTAATCGGGGTGCTGAATTTTTTCATCTGCTGGGTATTCATCCCCTTCTTTGATATTCGGTCGATTAATATTGCACAACCCGTAAAAATCGATAACCCATTGGGTGGATTATCAAAACTTCCAACTCAGTGAAATGTTCAATTAAAGGTAATAAACTGAAACAAATGGGTGTATTCACTTTGATGTGGGCTCGAATGGCAAATAATGATCAAGCACCGAATTTATGAACGTCGAGGGTATCTGGCTGGTGAATTGCCCATTAGAATCGCGATAATTCTTTGCGATTATGCTATTCAAAATTAATACCTGGAAATATTCTCGTAAAATATTAATTGGGAATGGGTCATGAATTATTGCAACTACAACACAATGGCATTTATTGTTATTTATATTGGTCAAGCGGTCATTCAATAGCTACTATTTATTCATATTCTTTACAAGTATGTTTACAATATGTACATGATCAAAGAATCCAGCACATTCGATAATCTTAAAATTTATTATGCATTATTCAATTGAATTTGCTTTTATATAAATTTTACATTATTCTCTCAATGAAATGAATGAAAAAAATTGCGGGTTCATTAGTCGAGGGGAAAAATCCCAATTAAAATAAACACAAACGGTAAAAGGGAAATAATGAAAAATGAAACAAATTGAAAAACATATTTTTCCCTTTATTTGGAGGTCGAATGAATATCAGAAAGAGCACGCAATTACGCTGTACTGCGAATATTTTTTATACAATCATTCATCCGATACTTTGAATTACTCCGGGAAGAATATCATTAGTTAATAAATACAATGTCACTATTGATTGAATTTCCTATACCTTTCTCTCCTCTCACAGAATCAAAATAAAAAGGAAAATAATGAGACACGAGGGAACACAAAAATGAAACAAATTGGTTCATTAGAATGTTAATTTGATATTGTTCTTAAGCACCCATTTTTCATAATCACTCTCACGGTACAAATTAAAAAATAAATTGCATGTGAATTGCCTTTAATGTATAATCCAGCGGCAGTAATTCAGCTATTGTATTATCGGTTAGGATACAATAAAAAAAACAGGCAATTAAAAATCCATTTATTATACATCATTCTCAATTACTTCAAAATGAGTTGACTTTGAAAGATTATGCATTCATTTCTCTCCATTAACATGACGAAAAAAACCCCAGCATAATTACCAATTTTAAAGTTAACTCATTTTACTTTGTCACGTGATCCGAATATTCGATGAGTAAGAGAATATTGAATCAGGTTAACAGTGTTAATCAATTAAAATTAATATTTCATTATGAACAGCCAGTGAAATGGATTTTGTAATTAAATTGGAATGTCACTTGGGTTTAGCAAAATTGTGCCAATTGCAGTAAAAATTATGTATTTCGAGGGTATTTCGTATAATGACCTACCTACACACACAGCATTTGCTAAACCCATTTGTCACGCATTGTAATACACAATTGATGGTGAATAATTAATACGAAATTCAACGAATGTACATGATTGTTACGAAACGATCGCGTAAAAAACAGTTAGTATGCAAGCATCTGTTTTCTTCTGTCATGTTGACAATTGAGTATCGAACAAATTGCTCAACTTATGATTTAATGACTTTGTTTTTTTTCTTCTTCATTGAGGCAAAGAGGTAATCCACACAAAATTTATCCTCACGGAATAAAAGAGATTAATGTAATCAAATTTTCTCCGCATTTATCTACATTTTTGAGAAAACTATCTTGGTTATACACGTATAAAAAAACATGTAAAGATGTTCGATAGGACGTTTTTACGGGGTGAGTTTATAGGGGATTTTATGGATTTATTTATCGGGTATAGGATTTGGATGATTCTCGTACGCATTTTTTTATAGGAATTCTTATAAAAATTGGGACTTGGAAAATTTTCTGAATTTCATAAGGCTAATAATAATAATAAATAAAAAGAATGAGGACTTATGGAATTGTAAAAAATTTTCAAATCCGAAAGAATTTCTAAACGTAAAATGTATGTGGAAATTCTCCAATTATCGTACATGAACTACTCTATACAAATTCCTTATAGAACATCTCTGCATGATTTTTTCAAACGCGTGAGAGCCCTCGGGAGTAAAAAAAAACTGAAACTCGGAGAAAACATTTCGCGATGAATTCTGAGCTAAAAGAGGACGACAAATTCTGAACAATAGGTTGAAAAAGTTTTCTTGAATAATTGAGAAAAATATAAATATTTATTTTATAATAATAATTTATAATAATAATTTTTCTGTAAACAAATGCGCAATAAAACTCCGAAATTTTTCAATAGAATCGGCCACAAACTAATAGAGATTCGTTAGGTTTCTCTCTGAAATTGATTCGCGCTTGTTTCCCCGTATTTCAGCTATATTTTTAGCACTCCCGAGGCCTCTTAAAGCAATCAAATCGATATTCTACTCACACAAACCCGAAATTAATCAATCTCCATTCGTCAATAGACTCACCCACGCACAGGCGCCTCAATATTATTCTGTACACATCAATCATCTCGCAATAGTATAATGAGTGATTCCTAATATTTTACATTGTCATAAAACGCACGCGCCAATCAATTAAGATATACATATTTAGAAATATAGTAGTTTTTCTTTATTATTTGTTCAAGGGCAGTTAAACGTCAATTCATTTCCCCCCAATTTGGCTGGCAAAAATATACCAATCGATAACGCCATTTCTCCGGGAAAAAAAAATTGATTGAAGCATTAAAAAAATTAATCTATCAAGTTTTCTCCTTCACTCATTACTCCTCTTTTCTTCCATCTTCTACATCGATTGCAATTGCCGAACCGTGAGACAAAACTATTAAATTAAACAACTGATGTTGTCCCAGTTGTTCCGGAAATCAGCTCATTTGAAAACAAAACAGAAAAAAAGGGAAAAATAAATCGAATAACAGAGTTAACGTTTTCTTTCTCCCCCTCTCCACTATCGCTGGATGAACGACACAGAACGTAATAAAGTTTGTGCTATTTGCTCCAACATGATTTTTTTTCCCTTTATAATTCTGCCTGGTAAAAGATTTTCTACGATAAACTGTACATTTTATATCTATACATCATTGCCATTTATTTTTAGTTTCTTCATCTTTATTTTTCCTTGCTCAATCTTCATCGCAGAGGAACGAAAACTCCGGGATACACAGACAAGCGACCGATGATTAAATTTATTAAACTCGAGGGAAAAACAAAAAAAAAAATTCCCAAGAATTCAACGGAAAATTGAGATGAAATCTACCGCTCGGGCTTGAACGTGAATCGTGGGTTGGAGGGGAGTTGATAATCGATATAACTCTCATCCCCTCAACTCCTTCGTCGACCTTTTAACGCATTTTCATTGGAAAGTAGTTGGAGCAACTAATTTAACGCCCAATCGGGCGTTACGATAAAGTTTGGTTCTGTTGGTTGTATTAGGTTGGCCTTGATGCCTCGCACATAATGCACGAGTCTCAGTGGTTTTCGATACAGCAGCGAGATTGGCCCCCGGGTTTCTCGCTGCGCCCCCACGACATTCACGTCGATCAACATCAAGTTCAAGTGCTCACTTCAATTTGCCTAGCAACCCTGACCCCTCATCTCTATTGCTGATTTTAGATTGTGTTTTTGTGATCGACAAGTGGACTGGAAACTCATTTAATTGACTGGAATACATGTAAATTGATTGAAACTAGTTGGAATGTATCTGGCAAATGGATTGGAACGACTGGAATGGTCTTGAATTGAGGATATTAGTCCTAATTTGTCGCATAAATGATTTGCATCGAGTTTTTTGAGAGGCGGAGACAGGAAAAAGGCTTCTCCTTTTTTTATGATGAGAAAAAAAAATGCAACGAAAAAACTTGGAAAATTTCATGAGAATGTCTATTGAATATGTATTGAAAAATCATACGGCCAAAATGCATGTTTTTAATAAAAATATACGGGAAAATTGTGTCTCCAACAGAAATTTCATGAAATATGTAAATAAACAGAAAAATTCATGAAATCTGTAAATTTCAGTTGAAATATTATAGGAACATTCGTATAAATCCGGTAAATTCACACGTGATTTGAACCCTCAATCGCACCCAACCGGATAATTGTCTCCAATTATCATTACCATTCGCGATTGAATGATCCCAAAACAATCTATACCTTCGGAAAGCCCAATATTTACGGAATTTAACCGATTTATTCGGTGGTTTAAAGCTAGTTAAAATCGTCCAAACAAGGTGTTTCGAGAGTTTACCCGACATCAACAACCACATAGGCCCACACAATTTACTGAGTAATACCTTACTCCAGTAGTTTGTTATCTCGATTCAGCTCGGAGAAAAAAATTACATTTTTAGGAATATATGTATCACTGATATCCCGGGACATGCCACTGATTTTTGGAAATTTATCATCAATTATTATTGATAATCAAAGATCGCTAGGGACTAAATTCCAGAGTAATATCACAGATTTTCAGGGACACTAATTTTTAGGGATCTGTCACCAAATTTTAGGGATAAAAATCACTGATGATGACAGTCATTCTTGTTAGGGTTCCGTATCATCAACAAATGGCAATAGATTCCTGATAATCAGTGATAATTTTTTGAAAATTCACGATGATGCACGGAAAAAAAATCTACCTGAATTGAGTATAAAATATAATTAATTCAAGTATTCAAGCCCTCTTAAGTGTAATATAAGGGTCAGGCGCCCAGTGTCAGAATATATGGGTCAAAAAGTGGAGGTTAAAAATGAGGGTCAGAATATAAAAGTAAAAAAAGTGGGTGTCAGGCAATGAGGGTCTAAATATAAGTCATATATTATGCTCATTGCCTGACACCCACCTTTTTGACTTATATTCTGACCCTAATTTTTTGATCCTAATATTCTGACCCTCATGACTTCACCCTTACATTCAGGCCCTCAGTTTTTGACTCTAATATTCCGACCCTCATTTATTAACCTCCACTTTTTGACCCTTATATTCTCGCACGTAGTGTCTGACCCTTATATTACACTTGAGAGTACTTGGTACAATCCGGGTTAATACGAAATAATTATTCCCGAATTGAAACAGCCATCTCCCATTCAAGTATAAAATATGCTTGAATCAAGTATATTTTATTCTTGAATCAGGTTTATGCATATGCTTCATTCTGGTGTAAAATATACTCAATTCAAGTATATTTTTTTTCGTGTGTCACTAAACGTTAGTGTCAAAATCACTGAATTCCAGAAAAAATAGATGTATATCCCTAAAAATCGTTGATACATCCCTAAAAATGAAAACTCGTGTTCTCTGTGAAAATCCTCGACCAATTCTCCACCTGTCGATCACAATCTCCCAATCTCCCTTTCCAGCCGGCTCGAAATTCTCCCATTTAAAATCGTATTCACCTAATAACCGTATTTGTACAATTGCAACTCGCTAGGCTGCTCTGCACTAGGCAAATTCCCTTCATGAACTTCGTTCAATCAACGTGATCGATCAGCATCCATCAGCACAAGATGCTAAACAGCCGTGGGGGCACGTGATTGTCAGTGCCACTTTGCCTTTTGCGCAAATATGTCAGCCCGTAGATTCTGGGCAAAACAAATTCCAAGGATCTGAAAAAAATACAAAAACCTTCGTGATCATTTCCATAAGTAACACACCGACTGACATCACCGTTTAGCACTGATGAATGCTAATTCATCGAGTAAACATGAATTTTCTACATTAATCAAACATGAGTCACGACATCTCATGCATAAAAAGCAACAATGAAACGACGATAAAAGTGACAACAGCTATAATTCAACTGGAAAAAATCGTAACGAATAATAGGTACTAATTTTCAATGAACAACTTTCCGCATAAATTTGATATTTCACTGGAGTTAAGCTCTTTTTCCATCCCCGTACCGGATAATAAATACTACCTGTGCGAAGGCCGTGACGACAGCGCTGGTTGCAATCACAAGTAAATTTCTCTCCACCCATTCCTCCCCAGCCTGAATACAACCCTTCTCATGTATCGTCACGTCTGAATTCTGGAAAATAAATATGAGGGAAAAATAACACCTACGACTTACCGGAGTAGTGCAGATGGTTAGAAGGTGGCGTCTGGTGTTAGTTTTTTTTCCTTCCATATATACCTCATTTGAGTTTTTACGTGTTCTCTATTGCGGCTTAGAGAAAAAATTAGTTCTGCAGAACAATTCAGTAGCGAAGTGGTAAAACGGTTTCAGTCAACTTATCTCAGTTGAGTTTTTGAGGAATATTTCCGAAACTAAGGGAGATAGCGCAATTTTTGTAATTACATTTGTTGTAGCACTTAATCGGCTCTACAAAAAAGGTTATAACAAAAATTTTGCTATCTTCCTTAGATTCCGAGATATTTATTGAAGACTGGTCAATAGTCAAAATTGACTTGTGACATTCCGAGATATTTATTGAAAATTGGTCAATAATCGAAATTGACTTGTACCGTTTTACCACTTCGCTACTGAATTATATTTTTTTTGTCAGTGTATGAGAAAATTTAAGTTAAAAATTTTCGTCTGAATTTTGCGTGTCAAATCCTGGAAATTTTTATCGTGTTTAATTTCCACTGAAATTTCAGGAAATATTGTCATTGAAGAGTCAGATATCCCATTAATTTTCGGTTGAAATGATCTGAAAATCAATAAAAAACTTGATTTTTCTGTTAAATTATTCCGTAAAAATTCAGAAAAATCCGGAAAACTCAGGGAACAATTGAAAATTCATGTCATTCTGTGGCTGAATATTCATGTTTCATTCAAAATTCAATCAAATTGTGAAATTTTCATCTCACTTCCACTGAAAACTCATGAATTTTCTTGAATTCTCTCTAAAACTTGAAATTTTATAGTCCTTTTTCCCCGAAATTCGATTCAATGTCACTCTCATGAGAATTACTATCATATTTTCCATGAAATTTTAAAAAATTTCTAACAATGTACATAAATATCATGTAATTTTGTCGTCGTTAAAAATTTCATTTCATTTCAAGAGTAATTTTCTAACAGTGTTTGACGACTGTCGTCAGTCCTCAGGTGTCAGGTGTTAGTTTTGTCAAGGTAAATTCTATGAGAAAGACCCCTAAACAATGTGATTTGTGTACGTGAGCATATCCCTATCGCTTCCGTCATTCACGAGGGAAATCCTGCCCCCGCAAACCTCAATAATTTATGACCCCCTACGATTACACCCCATTACTCGGGAAAAAAATCCCTATTATTGGATTGCGTGACGGTTAAGCATGAATGCAGTTTGCACGACCAAGCTTTTTAGGCTCTGCAGCTTGTTGAGTCTTACTAAACAATAAACATCCGAAAACCCCGGCATTTCAATCGTAATAACGGAAACATTATCGGCTTTTATAGCCTAACCAGTGGGACGAGATGAGGGGGTAGAGAGTGAATAAAACCTACCCTGGGACTCACGTGAAATGTATGTGTTATTATGTATTTTCTCTCTCTGTCCAACCACTGGATCCATTACAGTAATACCCCGTATCGTTTTTACTGAGTTTTATCAGGGTGTTAAACTTACCTTTTGCGAGAAAGTGGAGAGAAATTAATTTTTTAATGCACGATGCGATTTACTATGCATTACAATCTACACACTAATGTACAACAAATTATAATTCCACTGTGTTTATAAGAATGAGGCCTGGGGTTTTTTTCAAACAATTTTCCAGACATTGATCTGTGGGTGAGTGGGGCAAAATGGACACTTGACATTTTTTTCCATGTTTATAATTCAGAAAGAAATTTAATAATTCACTGAGAAAAAAACATTTTTGAGAAGTACGAACAAAATATCTTACAGTGAGAAATAAAAAACTTTCAAGAGATTTTGTACTTGTCACAAAGACGAGGGTAATTTGTTTATGACAAGAAAGTGATTTTTCAAACCAAGTCTAGTTGAATTAACTCATTCAATAGTTTTTCTGTCTCAAATCCAAAATATTTTAATGCAAAAGCTACTTGATTTGTTCCGAGAATGCGCTTTCTTGTTGTGCACCACTTGCCCTTCATTATTCGGACAAGTGGAAAATCCCTTACAGAAAGTTATCTTTTCTCAGTGGAAGATATTCTTTTCTGGATAATTCTCTTAAGAATTGCGTTTGTCAACGAATTATTTATTAATGAGCAATATTTCTAATGTTTATAAGTTAAAAAATAACCATTTGAGGCCAAAGCTTAAGATTCTTGAATTAACAAAAAAAAACATGTGTTCCCTATTCTGCACTTGTCCGAAAGACGAGAATAATTTGTTTATGATAAGAAAGTGAATCGAATGAAATTGGTTTTAAGGCTCTATCTCTCATAGTTTCCAAGATAATCGCGAAAAACGAAATCGCAAAAAAAAATAATTTAATTCATTTTTATAGGGTGTAGGAAGAGGAAAAACGCAATTCGGAGCCGTCCAATTGCCTATAGGGAACCCAAATAGGGTTGTAAGGCTCTATCTCTCATAGTTTCCGAGATAATCACGAAAAACGAAATCGCAAAAAAAAGTAATTTAATTTATCTTGTATAGGGGGGAGGAAGTGGAAAAACGCAATTCTGAGCCTTCCATTTGCTTATAAGGAACCCAAATGTCCTCAGGAATCGAATGGAATAGGTTTTAAGGCTCTACCTCTCATAGTTTCCGAGATAATCACGAAAAACGAAATCGCAAAAAAAAAGTAATTTAATTTATCTTGTATAGGGTGGAGGAAGTGGAAAAACGCAATTCTGAGCCTTCCATTTGCTTATAAGGAACCCAAATGTCCTCAGGAATCGAATGGAAAAGGTTTTAAGGCTCTACCTCTCATAGTTTCCGAGATAATCGCAAAAAACGAAATCGCCAAAGAAAATTAATTTAATTTATCTTGTATAGGGTGGAGGAAGTGGAAAAACGCAATTCTGAGCCGTCCATCTGCCTACAGAGAACCCAAATTTCCTCAGGAATCGAATGGATTAGGTTTTAAGGCTCCATCTCTCATAGATTAAAAAATCAAAGATGACGATAAAATCATAGATGATTTAACATATTCTTTTCTTGATAATTCTCTTAAGAATTTTGTTTTTCAACGAATTATTTATTAACAAGTAATATTTCTAATGTTTACGAATTAAATATTAAACACTTGAGGCCAAAGCTTAAGATTCGTGAATTAAAAAAAAATATGCGTGTTCCCTATTCTGTTCCTACGGTCGTCACGCAGGGGAAAGGTTGCACTTTCCATTGAAGAAAATCACTCCACTTCATAAAAAAGTTAATGAGTCATTAATATTTGAAGAAACGTCACAAGTGCCTGTTTTGCCCCACTCGTCCCTGCCACAATGCAAATGTCATAACTGTCTGTCTATTGATTAAGTGAATACATCAATGTTCGTTCGTACTGGCACTTGAAATTGCAATCAGAAATATTCTGTTATTTCAAACCCCGAAAAATTGATAATTATTACATTTGTGTGGAAAATCGTAATGGAGAGGCCTCGGGGTAAAATAAATAATTGAAATGTAGGGAAAACTTGGCGCAATGAATTCTCAGTCAACGAAAAAATTGTTCATTTTCCATAAACTCGATGGAACAAGTTGAAAACGATCTGAAGACCATAAAAAATTTTTAAAAATATTCTAAAGTGCGAGGTGGTTGACAGATGCGTTGTCATCTTGCTTGGAGGCTCCCTCTGCCGTAGGGGCATTAAAGATGGCGGTGCTGCCACCTTGAATTTTCAAACATTTTTCAAAACGATTTATCCTCCTCAGATGACCGTCAAATCGCTTCCTCCAGTTTTTAAGAACGGAACAAATTTGTTAAGCCATTTTTCAAATTTTTCCATCCTCTTTTACCCGAGAATTCATGGCGCAATGCTTTCCCTCATTTCAGCAGTTTTTTTCACCCCCGTAAACCCTCACAGTAACTTGCAGCCTCCGAATATAAACATTTAAACATTTGGGCATTTTTTGACGGTTCAATAAACAACAATAGAGTGGTGCTTACATACATGCTGAAACTTTGGTCACAATGGACAATATTATTTGCAATGCAAAATTCACGACATTCGCCGATATCGCCGAGGGAAAACTGTACCTGTAGGACCATTGTGCTGACTATAGTACCAGCAACTGGCACTAGGTTCAATTCTAGCCACTCCTCACCCGCCCTCAGGCAACCCCTTTCAAATATACTCCTCTCTGCTGGCTGCATTTCCCAAGGAAATAAGGAGAAGTGATTTAGATGAGGGGTGTAGTGGAGAAATATGATTCACCCAACGTTTGACATTATGGCGATAATAGTCAGGATATTATGGTCGTAAGTTTGGCCGACTCGGAGGAATAAAGTTACTCAATGGGAAATTTTAAATGGCAAACAATCAATGGGGAGATCAGGCATTACTTCCGGAATGTCATATCATTTCAGCTCTCTTTATTATTACGGCTGTCTGGGTTCGAGGGGAGTCGGTATCTTTTGAGATTCCAATATTATTTGAATGTCTCTTTTGTGCGCAATTATTTTTAAATTGGGTTTTTCAGCTTGGAAGTCGTGACATTGCGTCGTATTCAAGGAATATGTCGAAATCGTCAATTTTTTATGGAATGGGATTTGAAAAATGAAAAATTCCGGGTTCACTTCCTGAAGATTTTTATTCAGTGACAGTTTCGATGAATTTTTAAGACATTTCGACATTAGGAATTCAGAATTTGATGAAAAAACAACGGAAATTGGCCATTTTAGCGTAATTATTCGATGAATAATGTAAAGAAACATAAGAATTCAAGTGAATATATTCTCGAATATTCAATTACTTGAAAATTTTGCATAATTTCGTACTGAATATTGTTGTTTCTAGCCAAAATTAAAGTGAGCTAGGGAATTTTCATTTTCCTGCTACTACAAAAATTTCAAACTCCATTGGAATTTCAGTGAAATTCGATATTTTTAGATTTTTTCCCCTGAATAGAATTAAATGTTGATCAAATTTCATTTTTTTTACCATTATGTGTCATCAAAAAATGCAGTGGTTATCTTTATAAAAAATATTGCCCCTAGACAGGCCATCAATTTTGATTCAAAGTATGCTTTATTAAATATTTTTGTACGAGTTATTATTCACAAGTTATTTTACCGGCTCGCCTTGATTACTAATATGATTTATCTTCTTTAATTAACTTAATGCATTTTCCCAGCTTCGATAGTTTCCCAAGCAGCAACTTGTAAGACATTATAATCACCTTCTCATGAAATTTCCCATTTAACTTCCCTTATCCGCGCCTCGTATCTCCCAAGCAATTACACCCAGCCCGAAATCTTCAGAATAAGGAGTCAGACGGGGGGGGGG